GTGAGAGGTTTAACTATAGACACTCGTCCTCCAGAAATGTCATAGAACAAGCGTTTTGTGTGTGGAAAAAAGATGCAAATACTTGATCGTGTGCCTAGCTATTTGTTTCGAACCCAAGTTGTTGTTGCAACGATAGACATTCATAATTTTTTACGTCGTTCTGGAGTTGTGGAAGAGACATTTGTTAGAGTAGAAACAGATAATGACCTATTTAAGGTGGACCTACCTAACGTCGAAGACGAAATTCACACAAAAATGAACGCACTGAAAATGCAGCGAAGTGATTGAAACCAACTTCGTGATTATATGGTACATCAACGGTGATCTTCACATTTTGTACGAAACGTGACATTTCGCAAATATCTATTGTTGTACGAACGTGGGAATATAATTCGATGTATCTGTTGAATTTAATAATTTCGGATTGTACAGGTGGAATCAATGAATAATTGAATCCAAAAAATTGACAATATACATCCTGTAAAAAATATGCACGATACTCAAAGCGTGAAAATTGTATTTCACGTGAAACATACAAGGTGGTGGAACTATAATACAGTTGATTAGGTATCATGTATTGTGAATTAAGTTCACAGTTGGAAGGGCAAAATTGGGAAAGTGGAAATATTTCAACATCAAATGATTACCTTTTCACTGTAGAAAATGTGATTGACAAGACAAAAGAATGCATTTGAAGTGTAAAAATGGGCACCAAATGGAGGCTTAGCAAATTATCACATTCTTCCCGCTTTTAAAAAATTTCTTCCATGAATAACAGTAACGTTAATACGAAAATAATTTATAAAATTATTCCATTAAATAAAAAACAAATGATTTAAGTAATATTATATTTCACCGTGTGAAAAAACAATGATTACTGTGATGGTGAATTACTCAAAATTTGGAATGGTAAATGATGCTTCACAATATATGGAGTTCGAGCTCGAACACAGGGCCCGAACTTGGCAAGTTCCAATTACACTAGTTCCAAGCTCTGGTTTTGTGCTGAGGTCGGGCTTCAAGCTATTTCGCCCAGTCTCATTGACATTATCTCACATCTTCTAGAAGCCATAATTCTATTTTAACTATAACTCCCCACCTTTCTTATCCAATACAAACTCCAAACTTATTAGAAATTTGACTCTAACTCAAACTGTATACTTCTAACATAATACAAACACCTTGTATAACAAGAATAAGACTATGGGAAGATGGATCCGCTTTGGACTCCATCTCCAACGCCTATAAATACATAGTCTAACCTCATTATTCAGGTACGTTCTATATAATATT